AAAAAAAAAAAAAAAGAATTTTATTTGAGCACAGTTTTCCTACAAAGTCATACAGGATGCATTCAACCTGATAGAAGCAATTTGGATATGGTTCTCCAAATAACTCCCACCAAAGATTAGGGATGCCTCTTTCCATGCCCTGTTGATTTATCTACATGTATCCACAAATTTAAAAATACAAATACTTTAGACTCATCAATTCTGCTTTCAGAAATTTATTCTAAGGAACAGGTTAAAAATGAGCAAAATGATCCAGCTAAACTTTAATAATCACAACACTAGTTATAGACTAGAAGACAGTGTAATTGACTGAGTCACTTACAATGGCACACTTTACAACCAATCAAAAAGTTGGTATGCAATATTGAGTTCTTGCAACTTTCCACCACCACCAGAATGGAGAAAACAGCAAACCCATTCAGGTAGGAATATAAATGAAAGCAACATTTCTAGAAGACCATGTTCAACTTAAAGTGAAAAGTTTTAAATAGGCATACTCTTAAACCTACATGCAGGAGTATATACAAAGGAAATAATCAGAGTGGTGAAAAAAATAAATCTATAAGAGTGTTCATCAAAGTGTAGTTTATAATAGAAAAGCACTGGAATAAATCCAAATTCCAAGAAGAAGAGCAGTTATGGTACACCCTTGCAATGAAACCTGATGCAGCCATTACAAAAATGGGGGGTTAGGCAGGAGCACATTCCTCTCTTATCTTCCATGATATCCAGTTTTTCTAGAAAAATTCGAGTTTTTCTCTATCTTACTAGCCCTCCATCTCAGTATCAGTTTCTGGACTCTCCCCCTCCAAAAGCATAATTCTGCTCTTGTCACGTCACCCCACATTCTCTCAGGAGATAACCACATGCATTGCTATCACTTTGCATACTATCTGTGGGCTGACAACTCCCAAATGTATCTCTGCAGCACAGACTTTTTCTCTTGGACGACTCGAAAGCATCTCAAATTTCTGAAAGCAAACTCTTGATATTTCTCCTAAAATTTGTTTCCCACTACCTCTCTTCATTCATTTAGGTAGCACACAATCCACCCATTTGTCCATATCTAAAACATGAGGGTCAACCTTTATTCCGTGTCCAGAATATATCTGGGCTGCCTATAAATTAAAAAATAGAAACATGATATAGCATATGAACATGCAATATTAAATATGCAATTAACTGGACAGGAACCCAAATTGCCAATAAACATAGAAAAAGACACACAACTTTCACCAGAGGCAGGTAAAGGCAAATTAAATAATGAAATATCATTTCAAAGTGTCATTTTTGCAAAATTAGTCTTTCATACCAAGTGTGGTTGGGGATGTGGAGAAAAGGAGCTATCATACATCACTAAAGAGCTATTTAGTGATATTGAGTAAAGTCAAATGACGCATACCCAAGATCCGGTAATTTAATCTCCATTGAGGTTTTCTTTAGACACTTCCAGATGTGCCCAACGATACGTATATATGTGTATGTCTACATGTCTTCTCATGAACATTGAAAACAATACAGCATAGGTCGCAGAGGTTTTTTGATGGTAGTAACAAAATAATAATTGCATGGGTGCTTAGGTGGTTCAGTCGGTTAAGCATTCAACTTCGGCTCAGGTCATGATCTTATGGTTCATGAGTTCGAGCCCCGCGTAGGGCTCTGTGCTGACAGCTCAGACCCTGGAGCCTGCTTCAGATTCTGTGTCTCCCTCTCTCTCTACTCCTTGCCCACTCATCCTCTGTCTCTCTCCCTCTCAAAAATAAATGAACAATAAAATAATAATAATAATTGCAATGTTTACTGAGCACTGTGTCAATTCCACTCCTTCACCCTGTTCTGTGCTTTCACAAATATTAACTCACTCAATCCTCATTACAAATTTACAAGCTAAGTGCTGTAATTATCCTATTTTATAGTTGCAAACATAGACGCAAAGAGAGCTTTTCAAATAAATACCTCACCTAAGGCCACACAACCTGCTGTATCTGGGGCCAGGATTTTTTCCCACGTCATCTTTCATTGCTATCTATGTTTTTATGACAGCTTTATTGAGATAATTTATATACCATAAAACTCATTCTAAAATTATTTTCAAATGTACAAATTACTGGTTTTTAGATACACAGAGTTGGGCCACCATCACCACTATCTGATATTTTTTTAATGTTCATTTATTTATTTCGAGAGAGAGAGAGAGAGAGAGCACCAGCAGGGGAGGGGCAGAGGGAGAGAGGGAGAGGGAGAATCCCAAGAATGCTCTGTGCTGTCAGCACACAGCCAGACACGGGGCTCAATCTCACAAACTGTGAAATCATGGCCTGAGCCGAAATCAAGAGTAAGACTCTCAATGGACTGAGCCATCCACATGCCCCAACGCTATCTGATTTTAGAACACTTTTGGTCACCCCAAAAAAAGATTCCTCTGGGGCTGGATTCCTTTTGGACTCCCTTGTTTATTACATCAATAGGGAAATAAACATATTACATATGCAAATGAATATTATAAAACTGCTACTATGATTCAACTAGATTCAAGGTGCTGCAGCTGTCCACTTTGCCTATTGTGCAGAACCATCTATAAACAAAGGCCAAGTCTTCCCTCTCTCTGTGTAAGCTCTGGCCATAGAGAACTCCCCCCATGAAGCCATACATGCAGGCTTGCAGAGAGAAGATATTATAGCAAAAGTGGAAGCCATGGGCATTCGAGCCATTTCTTCATGGAATCTGTACATTCAGGGCCTACTTGGGCATGATCTTCCATTTGATGATGGAGTGCTTCTGCACACACCCAACTTGGTGGCTTAGTAGGTCAGGTAACACCCATTTCATGAAAAGCAGCTTAGGTTACATGGTAATGTGATGGCCCATACCTGAGCATTCAGTCTCTACTAAGGCCCAGTACCAGGCCAAAAGATATTTCTCAAAATGAAAGTAGTTAACTGAAGATGAAAGCAGGAGGGCCAGTTGGGTCTTATGATGGGTCAGCCCTTCCAATGCATTTAGAACAAAATTCAGACTCCTCTGCATGGCTTACAAGGCCTTTCAAGAGTTACTCCAGCCTTCCTTGCCAGTCTCTGCTTGGACCACTCTCACAGTAGACTATGGGATGACACTGGTGAATGAACAGAAATGTAAGACCCATGACTTAAGCATTCATGAGAGAGTGCCAGAGCATAGGTGGAAATTGTTCTTGAGGTTACAGCCTCTAGAGCAGTGATGGAGTCACACAAGAAGGAGGACAGAAATCTCAGTGACTTAACAATTGTTGGCCATTGGCTGCATAGTTGGCCCCTTCATCCACCTTCTCTACCTATACTGCAGGTGCATTATGGCTTCTCCCTCACAGTGAAGCAAAGACAAACTCTCTAAAGAGATGGAAACTTCTTCATGGCAAGGATGGGTTTTCTCAAAGTTGATTACAAGAATGCAAGGCAATATTGTGTGTATCTCTGTTGCCACGTCATGCCATGGACTATCAGTGCTTTTTGCTACTAGAGTCAGGTGTATCTTTCAATTTAATCCAAACTAGAAAAACGATTCCAGAAACCATGAAACAAAACAGTTCACATTCCAGAGTAGAACTTCCTCTTTTGGGTAGTGTAGGTGTGTGTCTGTCTGTATTTGTCCACTTGTGTATGTAGGTGTGTGCACAAATTGCCAACCCAGTCTCTCCTCTACCAATCCCAGTATCAAGCTCCCTAATGTGAATGAAGCTTTCCCATCAATATCCATATGAACTTCAAAGTCAGTTCTCTCAATTGGAGGAGGATCAGGATCATCAGAGGAAGCCTCCACTACTACCTTTATTAATCATCATGTTATATATTATGGTTACCCAACACAGGTACTATAAACCTCAATAGTAAAAATTTAATGGCATTTCCATACATGTTTGGGAGTA